GGAGGGGAGGATGACAGGGACCAAACCAAACAGACCCTCACCGATCAAATTCTAAATTTTAAAATGAAGACTAACACATTAATCTGCAAGATTTGTTAAAAATATTAATTACTTGACAAAGGATCAAAAGATCATGCCTTAAACATACCTTTGAGGAAAGTAATTTTTTAATCTTTTAGTTGAAATTGCAAACATCTGGTTCCTCAAGAATGCACAACTTATACCTATATGTTGAGTACATGAACTTATTTGAATGTTTGCACTGATGCTATGCCAAAAAACAAATGGATAGAACTATGTTATCCATAAGCCCTGAGCATAAACTCCAGAAGTGCTCAAGGACACAGTTACAAATACCAACATAAGCAGAAATTAAAATTTATTCTTGGGGGAAAAACTAGCATTTTAAATGATTCCTTATATGAAAGTCTATTTTAAAAGACTTAATCGCCTCCACTGAAACCAATCAAATAGAACACAGAGCCACTTTACACCAGATCCTTAACCTACATCAAAGACTTACACAAATAGATAAATAATTAAATTCAAGAACACATGACTGTTTGGGACATTCTCTTTTATGCTTCTTACCTAGACATCAAACTCACTAATGGATTTATTTCCAATCACTGTAAAACCAACTGCAATTTCACCGTATTAAACTAGTGTCTCTTAACATTTTTTTTCAGGTTGAAGAGAATAAACCCGCATCTAAACCCACATCTAAACATTTAAGAGCCCTAGCCATCACATAATAAAGAACCAGTTTTGATTAACAACTGTAAACAATGAGAAGTCTGTCTGATACAGTCAAGTGCTCAGCCACCCCATTCATGCTTCAAAGAAAGCATTTCATAGTCCAGCAAAAAAAAAAAAAATATATGAACTGTTTGTCTGAGCTAGCACAGAGAGAACATGAACTATGCAGTCTCACAAGAACAGTTGAACTCTTATATTTTTTTCCAGACACCTCCTCTGACTTCCTGAATTGCAGATTTAACGTAAGAAATCACTGACAGCTGTAAGCTTAATAAAAGGCTCAACTTGAAAACCAATTGTGATTACTTACTCAAGTTGGTCATAATTAACGCACATCAGTGGCACTTCTGTACTACAGCGCTGGTGAAATTTGTAGCCACATGTCTGGCACCGGAATCCCTGGAAAAGCAGCTTTCGACAAAAGTCGCAGAATGCTAATGTGAAGAATGTTTTTCGTACCTACATTGTCAAAAATAATCATAATTAAATAGAGTCCTTCTGTAAGTCTTAGATAGGCTATTTGCTTTTACCTCCCTCAAATACACTTACAAGCCTCTTTTTTGATGCCAGAGCTACAGTTTTATATATCAAACAGATTTACATAGAGGATTGTCTCAGTTTTGAAATAGTCTTCATGCATTAAAATTTTCTTTCAACTATTTATGGGAATTAATGCTTCACTTCATTAGCAGTAAGAAAAACAGCAACAAATCTGAAGCAAAGCAACGCACTATTATCATGCTAGAGACAAACCTCAGAATTTAATTGGATACAACCTATGAAAACAAAAGCTGCTGAAAGATTATCTCATCTTCTAATTTTTCCAGGAGCCAAATGACATTTCTACCCAACACTCAGAGGACTGGAAATACACATCCAGCTTATATAAATGGCTTCTATGTATGGTTACATATATAGCTATAATTTTGACTACTGAAACTCAGAAGCATTTAAAATCGCAAAAGGGTGAACATATATTATCCCCATATTATAGGTGGGAAAAAAATGATTTAGTTTCATTTTCAAATTTAGCAATACTTGGCATAAAAATACATTCTAGTTGTGTTACTACATGTAATAATCAGAATTTCAGAAGGATACAAAAAAAAATGTTAAGCCTACTAGACTTTCATCTAACTAGCCATAGCCAAACTAGCTTGTTAGAGTAAAATAGTCTAAACAGCTTGCAAATAGAATTTTGGTGTTTCATTTAAATAAAATGTCTGTCTTCTCAATGTGAGAAACATTATTTCCAGGATTCGTATGTAGCTGGAACCGTTTAGATGGATTCTGTTTAGCAGCTTCCATTTACTTGGTGCCTTATCAGGTCAAAACATATTTGTGCACTAGCATCACTGATGATGTCAGCACCACTCTGGGAATAGTTAGTTCATTAGTTAATTGCTGCTGCAGAGCCAGCAGGGAGGCCCAGAATACATTTTATAGATACAGCAATACAAAAATAGTAGATTATTATTACAGCTCTGCAATGCAGTGCTGATTTAAACCCCCCACATTTACAGATTTTAGAGGGTGTATTCCATCCAAATGTGAAAGTTTTAAGGGTGATCTAACATCACTTACTTCAATTACAATTCTATCTAATTCGCTTAATTAAAAACTTCTTTCCCAACCCCCACCACATCCCACAGATACGAAATACTATTCAAAGTTGTTAATTTGTATCTGAAAGTACAAAGTTGTTTTAACCCTACTCAACATTTCATAAAAAACAGTACATACAAAATTGTGTGTCGTGAGTGGCACATTCTCCAAGACTTCCACATGCAACTCCTCTCCCGTGAGCCAGGAAATGTCAGTGTCCCAGCCAATTGGCTTCTTCTCTCTGAAGTGTAAATAAGCCTTGCATTAGCACCAGTGCACAAGCCCTTGCAGGTCTCCTG